TTGTGCAGCTTTGGGGTACATTTCCAAGCAACAAAAACTTTAAAAAATTCTGGAAAGTGAATGAAGGGTTTGAATCTAATGCAACTTTCTACACAAAACCAATGAGAATTTATCTCGTAATATCCAAAGTTGCAGGCGTTTATCTCCTCAGATTAGCGAGCCTTGAATTTTTGTTCACACCCGTGCAGGTTTGAGACCCATTTTTAAGTAACACAAAATTTGAAATAATTCTGAAAAATGAATGGACAGCATGGATCTAATAGAATTTTGTACACTTAATAAGTGAGGCCTTTATTCAAAATATCGAAAGTTGCAGGATTTTATAAATTTGCGTTTGCGAGTTGCGAATTTTCATGCACGCTTGTGCAGCTTTGGGGTACATTTCCAAGCAACAAAAACTTTGAAAAATTCTGGTAAGTGAATGAAGGGTTTTAATCTAATGCAACTTTCTACACAAAACCAATGAGAATTTATCTCGTAATATCCAAAGTTGCAGGCGTTTATCTCCTCAGATTAGCGAGCTTTGAATTTTTGATCACACCCGTGCAGGTTTGGAGCACATCTCCAAGTAACAAAAAGTGGAAAAAACTCTGGAAAATGAATGGAGGATTTGAACGTAATACAATTTTCTACACGTAGCAAATAAGCATTTATCTCAAAATATAGTTTGCGACTGATGAACTTTTATGGCACATTTTGAAGCGACCAAAAGTTTGAAAAGAGAGGCGGAGATAAGCCGAAATTATTTAAAATTTCTTAAATAAAATCAGCCCTAATCCACCTTGCAAAACAGCCCCTAATATTACATTACCGATGTAAAACAACTCAGATTCGGCAAAAACCGATCATCTTAAGCCGAAGTGTCTGTTTATCAACTGGGAGATTTATCGGGCGATTTATCATCCGATAACAACACATAATATGCCGTAACACGCATAAATGACATTATACACGAATATCGGTATGCAAACAGGAAGCGGAAGATGATTGATGGAGGGAAAACGCTTCCCGTTGCAGGGTTTCGTCTTTTACCTCAAGGAAATGCGGGCCTGGTGAATGCAGATCTTGCGGTTCCAAGAGAAGGCTTATACTCGATTAAATCACACGGTATTATAGGGGCAAATTCTGTCCTAATTAGATTCATCTTAATCCAATCTTATTTAGTTTAGGCGCATTTATTTGCCTTGCTTTTTAATTAATTAATTTGCGCACTTGCTTTTGCGTCTTTTATTATTTTTTTATGGAAAAACCCCATTTGTGTTGAAGATTCTCTTCGCGTCTTTACTTACTATTTTTGTAGACGTGATACATTTTTTGTTGCCTCATTTATCATGTTTTGAGTCGAAAACTGTCCACTAAGTTGAGACACATTCCTTGAGCTAAGAAGAGCTCTATTCTTTACTTTGAGTCTTAACTCAACGCTAGTTATTTCTCTTTACAATGTTGAATTTTTGACACTTTTTTTGCATAACACGCAAGAATTCCAGAATTCTTCAAACTCTTGTTACTTAGAAGACTGACGCAAACTTACGCGTGTGTGTTTAAAAAATTACAATTCGTCAGTTCAAGCAGATGAAAAACTACAATTTTGAAAATGTTGAGATCAAGCTTCAATTGTTAAACGTACAAAATTATATGAGACTCAGAAGGTCCACTCGTTTTCCATAATTTTCCAAATTTTCTGTTACTCAGAAATGCGCTACAAACATGCACGCTTCTGTTTAAAAATTCACAACTCGCAAATCCCAACAGACAAATTGCTGCAATTTTSGCCWTTTTSAGAAAAATCCTCATTTGTTGAGTGCTGAAAGTTTTAGTAGATTCATGCSGCTCATTMATTTTCCAGRATTTTTCAAACTCTTGYTACTTAGAAGACTGACGCAAACTTACGCGTGTGTGTTTAAAAAATTACAACTCGTCAGTTCAAGCAGATGAAAAACTGCAATTTTGRAAATGTTGAGATCAAGCTTCAATTGTTAAAYGTRCAAAATTATATGAGACTCAGAGGRTCCACTYGTTTTSCATAATTTTCCAAATTTTCTGTTACTCAGAAAYGCGCTACAAACATGCACGCYTCTGTTTAAAAATTCACAACTCGCAAATCCCAACAGACAAATTGCTGCAATTTTKGCCATTTTGAGAAAAATCCTCWTTTGTTGAGTGSWGAAAGTTTTAGTAGATTCATGSSGCYCATTCAYTTTCCAGRATTTTTCAAACTCTTGTTACTTAGAAGACTGACGCAAACTTGTTGAGTGGTGAAAGTTTTAGTAGATTCCTGCCGCTCATTCACTTTCCAGAATTTTTCAAACTCTTGTTACTTAGAAGACGCAAACTTACGCGWGTGTGTTTAAAAAATTACAACTCGTCAGTTCRAGCAGATGAAAAACTGYAATTTTGGAAATGTTGAGATCAAGCTTCAAGTGTTAAATGTGCAAAATTATATGAGACCCTCTGAGTCTCCATACCGTCCACTCATTTTCCATAATTTTCCAAATTTAAATTTCCAAAAGGTTTAAATAAATTTCGGGCGGAAAATGCGACTGGTTATAAAAAATGAAAATCTCGCTCGCGAATGGCTCAGGATAAACAGAAGATTAAAAAATTGCACTGAAGTTGGTAAGCAACAGACAAACACCAACCCTAAAAAAGCGACGTCTATTAACGTCCAATCAACGTCACTTTGGTGCTGGGAACGTCCAAATGACGTAACTGGCGCCCGATTTGATTGCTTTGTGGCAGTTATGGATGATTCTGATGGTATTTTCTTGCAGTTTCCAGATTGATGGGAACAACAGCGGCGTCGGCCAACATGGGCCATGGTTTGAATGCCGCCGGCATGCCCGGTTTGGGTCCGTGCGGGGGCGTGCCCGACTCGAAGCCCATGCAATTCCCATTGGCGCAACGCCGCAAGAGGCGGGTCCTCTTCACGCAAGCCCAGGTAGGCTCTTATTCAGAGGGCGACGCCCACTTTCTACCAGTGACTCACTTGTAAATCCCCTTGCCCCCCCTACCCGTTGCCTAGTTACGGCCCTGATGGTCACGTAACAAACGAAAGTTTGCCGGATGCCGACGGTAAACGTCGATTGCCGCTGCCGGACATCGCGACGCGCTTTTTTCCATTTTTCGATTATCAAGTGACTGTTCAGAAGAGTTGAAATGGCATTTTGACAGCAATTAAACTGGTTGGTGTTTTCCAATAAAAAATTCCTTTTTGCCAAAAGTTGGTTGGGTTTGGAATTGAAGATTGTGGCGAAGACTGGATCTGCACTCTTGATTGGTTTTACATTGTAAGTTCTGTGTTCTTCACCCGTCGCTTACGAAAGATGCTTTTGCACTAGTGGGCGAGAGGGTTTTTTTGCAAAGTCCAAAAATTTTCTGTTTCAAACCCTTTTCTAAGTTCTAAGGTGTTTCGAGTTACCTACGTATTACCAGAGAAATTGTCAAATGTTTTTTCAAGGCCTTTCGGGGCTTGCTTCTCAAAATCTAATGTTTTTCTCTGCGAGTTGACGATGTCATTTTGCATTCAAAAACATTCTTCTGCTCAAGATTCTGCGTCTCAATGTTCTCAATTGTAACAAGTTTTTCTATTATTTCAGTCGCAATTTCCTAGTTTTACTTCCGTTACCTACAGTTTGCTTTTGCAAGTTAATGTGCATTTTTTGTTATTTCTTCTGTGCCGTTAATTTTTCTCTAATTTTGAAATTTGAAATTTTCTTTGAAACTGAGACAATTGCTCTTTCTTCCTCTGTCCAATTTCACCTTTTGCATCCATTTTCTGCATGCATTTCTGCGTTTCGAGAGTTAAAAGGGAAGCTTTCACTGCAAAAATGCGGTTTTTCGACTTTAAATTCACTGGGAATTCATTGAAAATCGGCCTTAACACTATCATAACTTTTGCGCAAGCAATTGCTCTTCTATCTTTTGGACATTTTTTGGAATTCCGGCTGAGGCAAGAAAGACTGAATTTGAAAATCTGTTAGTGGCCCGATTGAGCCCAAACTTACCGAACATTTCAGTAAGACTCTTCATCATGTTGAGGCCAAAAATCGCGCATTAATCTCTTCTATTGTGAGAACGACGTAGCGAAAAACTGAATCTTTGAAATTTGATTGATATTGATCATACTATGCGAAAATAAATTCGAGTTGGGTAGAGACTATCTGCTGGAGCCTTTTAGATACCTAATGAAAACGAACGCGTTTGAAAAATTGCAAAAACCTGCCATTAATAAGAAAATCATACGGAAACAGAAGATCATTACTTATTGTCATTAATGAATTAATTTTACGCCTTATTTGAGCCATCAGTTTTCACTCTCTTCAGCTGACTTCTTTTGTCAACCGCCCAAGGCAATGTTTACTTTTTTTTCACCACATTAAACATTAATTAGATGCCTGAACAGTGTTGACTTCCAGATGTTTTGAATCAACAATTCCTCCATCATTGAGATTGTCAACTTGGATGTTGATGTAATGCATAACGTGTGTTAGTTGGCCTTGCGAAACGAATCGGAGGTCAAAAACGTGTCGTCCACTTTTACATTTTTTTATTTACTTGCGCCAATAGGAAACAAATATGTTAAATATTCATGGATCCGGCAACGGAAGCATGAGGTTTAAAAAAATATTTTAAGAAGAATATTTGTCACTGGTTAATTAATTGATTATTATCTTGTATCAATTTTTTTGTCCAAAAAATTCGTAACTTGCGAAAGTGCGAAGATCCAAGGCTGCCGCTTTGGACACCGCAAAGGCCGAGTTTCGTTTGCTTAGTCAACAAAGTCGCATTAGATTGGAAGGTTTTATTAAATTTCTACAATTTTTCAAACTTTGAATTGCATTAAAACCAGAGCATCCGTCGATTTCAAAATTTTTTTCAAACACTTACTTGAAAATACGCCTCAATCGTGCAATTCGGGGTATTTCGAGCAAAATCCTCGTTTGTTATGTGCAGAAAATTACATTACAATCTGACCGATCGACGAGTTGAAATTTTTTTTCGAACTTCTTGTTAGGTACATAAAAAGGGGCCTCAAACGTGCACGCCCGGCTTATAAAATTCACTACTCGCAAATCCAAACAGTTGAAAGCCCAGAATTTCGAATATTTTCCTGGAAAAACTTACTTTAAGTTGGAAAATTCATTGGATTCGGTAGAATTGAAAATTCTGATCTGTCGCCAAAGAAAATGTTTAACGTTTAATACCGAGAAAACTGTGACACTTTTCAATCTGCACCATTTAACTGATTTTTTTAATACCAAAATACAATACACAGTAGGTAGGTACAACATAGATTTTTATTTCTTCCAGGTTTACGAGTTGGAGCGGCGCTTTAAGCAGCAAAAGTACCTTTCGGCTCCCGAACGGGAACATTTAGCTTCCCTAATACATCTAACACCAACCCAGGTGAGTCTCGCTACGTTATTTTAAAGCCTTCCCCAGTCTTCATAACCGACTGTTTCATGCAGTAAGTTAACAAAAGGGCGGCGCAATTACCATAATCCGTGTTTGATGAGGATTTGCAACGTTAGCCGAAGGTAAAGCTCCAGATTTAATCCGTTTTTAATGGCAAATAACAGTGATGAAGTGTGACGTTAATCTTCAATCAAAATATTTTCCTTCCACAACATAACAGTTCGGAAGTCATGGGAAGGGAAACTAGCTGGCCATTTAGTAGATACAGTGTTGTATTGGAGGATAGAAAGAAAGAATGGGTCAACAGATATTGAATGAAATTCTCTTATTTAAAAATGCTTAAAATTCCCACTTTCAGCTACTTATCAGTTAAAAGTGGGAATTTTAAGCCGGAAGATGTGCAAATTTCATTCAATCACCGCTGAATTTGATGGAAATCAGCCAAAGTTCTGATTTTCATTGCCACTTCAATTTAGACAAAACATTGAAAAAGTTTCAAGTTGCTACTCGCTCTAGTTTGGGTGTAGGAATTTTATCTTTCAAAGGATTCTGAAAAATCAGGAAAAACTCGCATGCGAACGCAATTTCTTCAGTTGCACTATAAATCTCTTCGTTTAACTGTTGCCAAGTTTCATGTTTCTTCTCACATTAGTTTGGGAATTTGAATTTTTCCATTTAGACAGAGCGCAAGTTCAGTGTTCAGGCAAATATGTGCCGAATGGGGTGTTTGAAAAAATGCTGGAAATTATCACGAATGGCTGCCATTTTTTCGCATTATCCCTGTTGCAGCCCCTCTACATCCAGAGCCACTCGTGCAGCTGGTTTTTAGGGCACAATACCCACTTGAGGGTCTGTTGGAGCCTAACAAAAATAAACCTCATTTATAGCTCGATTATTTTCTATTTTGCACCAGCATTGGATCCAGATGCGATTTTGCCTACTTTATTTTAACGCACTTGAAGAACTGAAGAATTGGAAATTAATGTTTATTTTGGCGATTTTTAGGCCTTAAATCTTTCAAGATCCAAGGAGTTTTAAACAGACACTAATAAATAGACCAAGCTAGTCATTCATAAATCCCGATTTGTTTGGGACCAACGTTAAATTCTACCGATCGGCGATTTATCAATGAAAAACAGGTGGTAGGGATAAAGTAGGCACCGATCAAAGAGTAGAATTAATCGGAAAATCAACTGTCCTGGCTGCTAGCCATAGGCGTAGTAAAAATCTGTATTAATCGATTTATTCTAAGCATGAAAGATTCATTCATTTTCGGACCGTTGTATCTACATTATATGTTTGAAACTATAATGGCATGCATTTTTTGCCGAGCAAGAAAATGCATGCCAAGGCTTAAAGCAGCAATAACGCTACACATAAAAACTGATGATGGTGGAAAAATACACCGAAACGTATTTTGATTGATAAATAGAGACAATAAATGACTGAAACCCAGGAATGAATTTGATTTGGAATTTAAACACATTCAGGAAAGTATATACTTACAATGCTATAAGCAACACAATTTTTTTAAGCATTTGATAGCGATTCAAATCGTCCCTGTTTACAATCGTGCAAAACAGTAGGTACAGGTTAGGAAAATTTGGCCCAATTTTCCTGCAAATTAAACCACTTCGCACGATTTCTTTTAAGCGTAACAGTTTATGGTGCACCACAGTTTATTAATATCACGATTATCACTTATTATCACCAAAAACACGAGAAATTGCAGTATTTACTTGTCCAACAAACCCTCTTCTCCTCTTACTGCCATGTCACTGTCAACACTATCTGATTGCGGTGTTGTCATGAATGTTTTATTATGTTTTCTGGTAATTACCACCAAAAATTCTTATGAATTTTTTAATATAAAATCTAAACCCGGTTATTTTAATGACATTTGCTTGTCGCTAATTACAAGCTAAGCAAATATAACACTAAATATAATATCTATGGCTACAGTTTTCCTGCTATTTTCTTGTTCATGCTACTCATATATATCGAATTAAATACCGAGCCGGCAACGCAGCACTCGCAAGTACCTACTTTTATATAGACTGTGAAGCGACGTTGCTCCCATCGGAAAACGTAAACAAATGCATCTATTTAATCTGAGGTTTTAAAAGCGTAATTTAGTGTGTTTATTGCGTTCAGCTTTCCACACTTTCTTAAATGGATTTCGTCACATTTTTCGCAATGAAAGTGCTGGTTGTGACGGCATTTATATGTAGAAACAACGTTGACACATTTACCAGCTTTCTTATAAAAACTGAACACTTTATGCAATTCATAAAAGTCATAAATTTTCGGACTGCACAGTGGCCGAATGTGTATGCATTCTATTATATAAGAATGTTATAAAAAAAGGAAAATCCTGGTTTAGTACCTACATCTAAATTATTTTGAAGCGATTGGCAACTTGGCAACCTTTTGGTAGTTTATGACGCACAATGGCAAACGTTTCTCTAGGGACAAATTACGATTGTCAAAGTCAATGAGCAAAACCGCATTTGCAAATACGGATCAAAAACATTGTTGTCTAATTTAAGATTTGTTGTTTTACAAATATCCTAGTTGTTAGTAAAATATGGCTTTTTCTTCTATATTTCGCCAACACGCTGTATATAATTCAAGCACCTTAAGCCGGTAAAAGGCCGAACCAAAAGGGTTATCGGAGCAATAAAAATACTTCAAAGTAAAATACAGAAAATGCACTAAATTAGATAAAAAAAGTGTATTCTACAGCAAACTATCTAAAAAATTTGAAGGGGAAAGAACTAAAATACAGCAAAGAAGGTGCAAGCTTCCACAGGCAATTAAGTGAAATAGGAAAAAGCATAATAGGAATTGAAAAAGTGCTGAAATGATTTTATATACAGGAAAAACACAAGTGCTAAAGCAAGGAAAGTCATCAAAACCGTTCAATCAACCTCAGTAGAAGTAACAGAAAATTTCCCATCATTCAGAGAACCCAAAAAAACACCTCAACGGTCTAAAACTCGCCACAGATTGTAGACCAAAAAAAACCCTATCATTACAAACTACAGAGCGTCCCAATTAAAGCCTTGGCAACTTCTAACTTACATGCTCGTCTAATGGAATCGTGATCGTAAATAGCTATGTAGGTATAAGAAAGTCGTCAATCTGAGGGTTGAAACGGTTCAGTTGGCATGTCAAACACCATAAGAAGTAATGATGTGGGTGGATGTGCATTCAGTTGGATGCTCCCATTGATGGCATCGATCGACAAGTGGCTCGCCCCGTGTAATTGGGAAATAATTTACTCTCTTCTACGTTGTTATTTCTCGACGGTTTGTTGAAAGGGTCGCTGGAATCACGCTGTGTGATTTATCTCAATGGAATAAAACTTTTTTCTGAATGCCATAAGCGGATCGAGCCGTTTTCTCTGGCCTGCGATTGTTCAGGCTGCTTTGAGGTTTGGCTGGCTTCAAGCCAAAAAAAATTGCCCAAAGATATTCCATGGAATTTACTGAGTTCTTGAGAAGTTAACGCAATTAACTTCTCTAACTGTATGATTTTTTTTTACTTCAAGTCTTTCAAACTGAGGTTGACTGAGATCCGATCACGTTTCCCATTAGCGAAATAATCAGTCCACTCTAAGCTGTCGAGCAAAATTCTTCTGAGGATGCAAGCCGCTCGACCTTGCGAAACTTCAGAATCACACACTGTAGAGTGAAACTGTTGCTAAAATTTCAGTCCACTTGAAACATTCCACAGTCAACCAGAGAGGGATAAATAGAAAGTTTCTGTGCGTGAACACAAGGCTAATAGTTTACAGGCCCGCCTGCTAACTACCAAAAGCGACCAACCCTCCTATTAGGGTGCATAAAGCGCCCCCGTAGGCCGCCTTATTAGCTACATGATTGCCTTACAATTCAACTCAATCGTTATTGAGTTAAACCCCAGGGCTGTCGGTTATCTACACTTTCAGCACCCGATTAGATTACGATTTTTTAAGTTTCTCCTCTATTTGGTCGCTGTTTGTTTAATTTAAAGTTGGAATAGACAAGACTAAGACTACGTGACTATACTGTACAAATTTGGAACTATACAGAAGAAAATCCCAGCACCCAATATATATATCATATAGTCATATATCAGCAATAATAAACAAGCTGACAACAACAGGGTTACCGATTGCAGCAAGCAGCGTTGCCGTTAATTATTAACTCAAAATCATTATCATTATTTTGGCATTAAATGTTTTAAATATATCAACATGGCAACATGAGCTTATTCAAAAAACATAGCAAAGAAAGGGACCGATTTTTGGGACATTTTGTCAGGCCTACTTTCTCGTCTCTACTTGCCTCTGGTAAGCAATAGATATAGATATATGGTAAGCAATAGATAATAGCTAAAATTTCTGAATATCTGGTGACCCGAAAAGCCAAGTTTCATGACAAAGAGTTTCTTTTAATGCTTTTAACTTTTTTATTCAAGACACTCAAAACAAGTTTAAAACAATCAGTGCAGCAAGCGAATGGAATGTTAGAGGTTAGAATGCGAAATTTTAGCTCGTAGAAAAATGTTTTTTTCTTTTTTTTTCTTCGGGCCTTTCTTTCCGGGCGAAAATCTCTTCTATGAGTGCCAAAAATTCCGCGCAAAAAAAAACCGGTCTTTTAAAATCGATTTTGTATGTGAAAAACGTGTCAATTTGTTTATCCTTCTAAAAACCGGTAGAAAATTCTTTAAAAAGTAACCTACAGGCTTTTTTAATGAATTACGTAGGTTTATAGACAACTATTGATCATAATTTAAAGTTTACTTACAATTTGTAAATTATAACTTTGTTACAAGTTCAGTCTCAAAGTCGTTCTACGGCCTATTTTTCTGCGCTCGCCGATGTTGCCACATGCAAAGCATGATTGTTTTAAATAGCGCAAATGTCATGCAAAATACGCAACTTATACAAACAGCATACGGTGAAAACAGCACTTGTATTTTCAACACTCATTGTTTCACATCTA